AAAGAAGAAACAACTAAAAAATCAATAAGTGATGAATTTATACCACCATCAGCAGTTGAACAAGAAGAGATTGAAAGTAATATATATATACATATATATGTATTTTTTTTCTTTTTAATTTTAATTCAAGTTTTTTATTTTGAAAATAATAAAATCAAAAGATAATCCAAAAAAACAAGGAAAAAACACGATCAATTTGTTTCCGTTTATAATATATAGAATACCGGAAAGTCAAGAGTAACAGAAAAGGAAAAAAAGTACTTTTGTTTTTTTTGTTTTTTCTCTGTATTATGACTTGAGATAGTAAAAAGCAGAAAATTCGATACTAAACTAAAATATTGCTTTTTTTTTTGTGTGTGTATAGAACGAGGAGAAAATTTTGATTGGGAAGCATTGATAGACAAAGAAGCGGCAACAAAACATCGAATAGCAGTCAATGAAATTGCACCTGGTATGAAAAAAAAAGAAAAATTTTTTTTTCTTGAATATTAAATAAATATAATAAAATTCTTTAATTTATTTTTTATAGAAAATCGTAAACGATTAAATGAACAATATCAATTAGATGAACCGATTGAAAATAAAATAAATGATGATCGTGAAATACAAATATCTATTGATAAACATTCTCAAATTAATAATCAACAATTTATTGAAGAACCATGGTTTAGAGATCATGCTAATGCACGTGCTGAACATTTACAATCGAATGCAGCATTAAATTCTATTGAAAGAAAAAAAAGACGTAATGACACATTATTTATCGGTAAATTTCTATTATATTATTGAAGTTCAAAGAGATATAGAATTGCATGACATCAAAAGTACTTCAGTTTTTATAAAAGAATCATTTTTCTTTGAAAAAAAAAAAAAAGAACTCGTATACATATTCAATTTTTCCTTAATTTCAAAAAAATGCTTTATAATGGAAATAAAATTATGGTCTGGATTTTTGATGATATATTTTTGAAATTCGAGTATTACAAAACAAAAAAAAACGAAAGATTTGTAGTTATTAAATTGATCAAAAGTCTGAATACTTTTTATAGATGAATTAATTATTTTTACTTAGTCTAGAATTTTCTTTTCTTGTTGTTGTAAAAAGATTATATTTCTGATGAAAAATTAATTAAAAAGAACACCTTTGTATATGATGATTAATTCTACGTATTAAATAAAACACAAGAAAAAACAATTTTTTTTAAGGAATAAATTATAAAATTTTAATATTATTTTTATTTTTTTATTTTTTCATAGTGATTGTGGGAACATGTTGTGTAGTCGGTTTTGTGGGTCTCGTTGCGGCAGCTATTTTCTGGTATAAGTAAGTATTTATTTTACAATTTGTTTTTTTTTTTTTCTTAAAACAATCTTAATAGATTATCTGTTAATTAATCTTTATTGAGAATAAACGAAAGAAAAATATTTAAATTATTCTATATGATGATTCAGTCTTATTATAAAAATAGAAAAAATTTTCTCGATTATGTAGAACACTAAAAAAAAGAATTGTGCTAATGCAATTATCATTATTAAAGATATAAAAATTTAGCCTATGACATTGTCTTAAAATAGAAAAGAATAATTTAAAGTTATTTTGAAAAAAAAAACTATTATATTTCTTATGAATTTTTAAATACTTTATAAAATGTTCTTACAAAATGCTCAATACTTATTTAATAAGACAAATGGTTTAGAGTCGGATAAATGTCATAGATTTTCTTTTCTTTAAAAAAAAAAAGGATTCAAAAACGAGCAGAAGCAGCTGTTGATGCTGAATATCCATCGTATGGTGTTACAGGACCTGTTTCTAGTGGTAGTAAAATTTCACCAAGTTCAACAATGTCTGATCGAAAATTGGCTCAAAGTGCACAAATGTTTCATTACCAACAACAACGTCAACAAATGATGGCACAAGAAAAGTATAAATGGAAAAAAAAAATGATTTTTACTTTTTAAAAAAAAAAAAAAAACTTTTTTTTTTCCATAGAGCTCATCTAGATACGAAACCAGTTCATTCAGATGATTCCGATGATGAAGCACCTGGAGGTGGAGATTATACAGTATATGAATGTCCTGGTCTCGCTCCTGTACGTTAAAATTATATTTTTTTTTCGATTATTTTATCTTTTATATTAAAATTTGAAATTTATTTTTCTTCTATTTTTAGACTGGAGAAATGGAAGTACGCAATCCACTTTTTGCTGAACATGATTCATCAATGATATCGCCAGCATCGAGCACACATCCAACAACTAACACTCATTTTCCACAACCATCAACATCTATTTCATCCTCATCCCCAACCAAAGAAAAATCCTTGCCTTGAAAAAAATTATTAAAAAAAAAAAAAAAAAAAGAAAAGAAATGCATTGCATTTAACATTCCTAAATAATTCTCCTCGGTGATTGGTCTTCTCTTTAACTTTTTCTCCTATTTTTTTTTCTTCTTCTTTTATCGTCCATCTTATTCACCGAAATGTATATGGATAAAAAAAGTTTCATTTAATGATTTGGATTTCTTTTGTTTTTTCGTGTATTAATAACGTATAACAGTGACTAATTTCTTCTCCTTTCTTTAAGACAATAAAAATAAATCATAAAAAAGAAAACCAGTGAAGCGACCATCACATTAGACTAACAAACATTATTTATAATGTTTTTATTTTTATTTTGCTCATATCTTGGTTTGAATTGGAAATATATTGAGTTGAACAGACAAATAATTGGAGTCGTACTACTCAACCATTCGACCTGATATTCACTGTTTGAGATATATATATCGAAAACTGTAAAAACAAATGGAATTTCGACATGAAATTTTGCCCATCAATAAGTCGATTTCCCTGTAGAATATCTTAAAAGTTACGCCCGAAAAAAATATTTCCTCGTCTAAATATTAAATTTCTAATTAAACTCCGTTTTTATATTACGCCTGTGGCAAAAGATCATTTTTGATAACATGAAACATTAATATCAGTTAAAATTTCTAGGTTAATCTAACTACAAACAAAATTCTGTTATTTTCTAGAACTTATTTAAATGTAAATTGAAAATTCAGTGGACCGATTATAATTTAACACAAACAATCTAAGAAAACAAACTCCTTTAACCTTTTTGTTTTCTACTGTTGACAAAAAGTTCTCAGAAGCTCAATATGACCTTCTCAAATAGTGTGCATTCGTTTGAATGATTCCCTTGTGAATCAACTTTGTGTTAAGTAAATATTATTACATTTCAATTGTTTAATATCATGCGTGTTCATGAGTCGCTAGACAGAAAACAAGATGTCAAATATTTGAATGTTTATATTTACTTAATAATGTTCTTAACATATGTTAATTTTTGTGTTGTTTTTATAACCAAGAAAATTTTCATGAATTAATACATTTATAATGAAGTTATTGTTTATTATAATGAAATAATTATCTTATTCAAATTTTTATATATATGTAAAAATAAGTCAAAGCAAATTTTATGAATAGAACAAATATTTAGTTGTTTTGTTTCCATTAAAAAAAAAAAACATACCTTGAAGCATTTGTTGTTTTTGTAAATTATGACAAAAACATGATTTTTTTTTTTATTTTGTTAAAAATCATAAAATAATTATAAATTTAAGAGTATTTATTTCGAGCTTGTTTTTTTTCATTAAACTATTATCAAAAATTTCCATTAAGTTTACTAGTAAAACATCATGTTGATACTCTCAGATTTTATAAGATTATGATGGAACTCATAAATGAATTTGATATGATTGTTTCTTTGTTTTTTTTTTGAAAACAAGTTACTTTTTAAAATGTCGAACTTGATATATGTTCGAAAGGTTTGGTAACATGTTTCTATTGAATTCAAATGTCACGACACTACTAAAAGGAATCTTCATACCTTGAAAATTGCCTTTGAGTTCACATAGATAGACTTCAGTGATGTATAGAGTCTCTAGACCTTTCCTACAGATCTATGGAGATTTTAATGAAATTTTGTTTATAACTAGAATGTGAAAATTTTAACTCAAAAGAATATTCCATCCACACGAAATTGACTTTTTCAAAAACTCATTTATAATCTACGAAAGATTTAAAAATCTAGTATTTTATTTTTTTAGAAATTCAATATCTTATGAGCTAAAAATTTTCAAAAACACTCAAAATTATCAAATAAATGAAAAGTGACTTTTCATTAATAATATTTCAATAGAAAAAGTTAAATATAATAAAAATTCTCTTTTATTCTAAAGTTCAAATAATCAATGATTCATGCATTCTATTGGACGAATCTATGTCTCTTTTTTTTTAATTGATACAAGCCTTCTATTCTTTTTTTTTTGGTTTATAAAATAAAATAAATGATGTAAATAAAAATTATTCAGACTAAAATACACAGCACGCGCACATATATAATTCAGTTTTTTCGAATCAATTGAATTATTTTGGTTTAGCACAATAACCAGTTGTTTGTTTATTGCACAAATTTTCATAGCAACATAGATAATGTTTAGCATCGCATTTAAGATTTTTATCAATTGCTTCACCAAAACCAAAACCACCACGAGCAACAGCAACACCTGTTTTTGGATCAAATTTCTATTTAATAATAACAGTAATTAAAATTGAAAGAGAATAAAAATTAATTACATACTGTATAACAATATAAATTTTTACCACCCCAAGCACCTGATGTACGAATTTCAGATCCTTCAAGTTTTTCTGCTTTACATGCTTCAGAACCTTTACATTGATAACATGCTTTTACTGCTTTCTTTGATGTTATTTTTTCTATATTCAAAAGACATATTTATTATTTTTGAAAAATGTAAAAAATAGACGATTAAATACTAACCTGGTGGTGGACAAGGTGATTGAGTATGTTTATTACAAAAAGCTTTTCTGCAACATATATGAAAACGATCTCGACATTTAAAATTTTTATCATATGTTTCACCAAGTCCAAATGCGCCTCGTTTAATAACATGACCAGATGCATTGAATCGCTTTAAAAATAAAAATAAAAAAAAAAACAATTTTTTTAATTGATATTTTCATATCTTGTAAGATATAAGCGACTATTTTATATATGTATAAAATCGAGGCAAATATTCTAGTTAATATAATTATAATTCAAATATTACCGTAAAACATGTTAAAACATTAGCACCAAATGCTTTTGAAGTTTTTGAAGCATATTTTTCAAATGGTACACCAGTACATCTTGTAATTTTTTCACCATAAAATTTTAATTTACTTGATGGATTTATATCGTCACATTGATAACAAATTTTAGCTCCAATATAATCCAATTGAATGACAACTACTATAAAGATTAATATTCGAAATAGGAATGCATATTTTTTTTTTCTACATATTATTTATATTAGAACTTACTGTAAAAAATTATGGTGAGAAAAGTAATTTTGGATATCATCCTATTCTATGCGCAAGTATGTACTGTTATATTCTGAATATAATGTTAGCTTGTAGATAGACAAGAAAAAATAGTTGACTGATATATAAATGTATATTTTTCCTCCCCCGTTATGTTAATATCAACACCAATAAGATAAGCTCCAAGGTCGTCATCATAAACGACCTATTGAATATATACATAATGGAATATAGTTATTCGATAGCAAGAAATATGTTGTGCCAATGGTGGTTATGACAAAAAAAAAACACATGATGATAGATAATAGAGATATAGTTTTGACTTAGATGCATAGCAGAATAAATTAAGTACAAATAATTTAGTTTTTTTCCTTTTTTTCAAATCATGTTTATAACAGCAAAAAAAAACAAACATAACAAAACTATAAATAATTGTCCATCATGATTATTTGTTTGACGAACAATCCTAAACATAAAAAAAGAAATATAAAAATGGCAAAAAAAAAACGACATTTACCAGTACTGGTGGAACTGTACGTAATAAACAACAGGTACCACGACCAGCACCTCCAATAAGTTGTAATGTTCGAATTTTCATTAAATTTTTGCTACAAAAAAAAAAAATAGCTATCGATCTATTATCATATGGAAAAAGTTTTTATTTTTATCTGATTTTACTTTTTTATTTACTGAAATTATGTTTTAACTAATCAATTCATCTATCACAAGAGAGTATACTTTAAAAAAATGCAGAATTTTATAGCAAAAGAAATCTTTAATAATATTTTCATCATTTTATTAATTTTGAAGAAATACTACACTTTTATAAATTTTTCTTAAAACACTTGAGAACGAACGCATAAATAGTTCTGAAACAAAAAAAAAAATTTTATAATATTGAAAATTTAGATTGTTTGTTTTGTTGAGATGTTAAGTTTACAAAGTACAAGACCTTCTCTAGTATTCATTGTAAAGAAAAAGAAAAAAAGCCTTTAGGCAAAAATTACATAACAGTATTAAGTATTAAAAATATGATATCTCGACAAAAAAAATCAATGCGAAAAGAAATGTAGCTTTGAAATATCTTTGTTTTTCAAATAATAGCTCTACAAAATTATATATTTCGATTAGTTAATTATATATCAATGTGTAATAGATTACATTAATCAACTAGATGAGATCAACATTTTTAAAAATATAATCGGAAGTATTGACTTCCTTTGTTATTTCGAAAAACAAGATTTCTTAAATTTGATGTTTTTTTTTTTCTTACAGTTAACAAAAGTTAAAATATGTGCAGTTCATTTTAACTATTAATAGATTATTCTTTATGAATATGTAAATCTTTTTAAGAAGAAAAGCTAAAAAATAAACCTTACGTAATTTCATCAGTTTCGACAGGATGAATTAAACCATCATTATCATATTCTTTAAAAACATCTTTAATAAAATAAACATTTTGTCAAAAAAATTTTTTTTTGTTTTTCGAATATCAATATTAAGAACATACGTGCTTGTTTAATAACAGTTACAGGTGTATAATTATTTATTATTGTTTTCTGATTTATATCTTCAATATTATATATATAATGTTCAACATCTTTTTGTTGTTTTTCATTTAAAGGTTGATTAATCAATGGTGATGATGATAATAATGTTGGCATTCTTGATAAAATATCTATAATTTAGAAAATAAAAAAATAAAAAAAGATACAAACTGAATTGAAGATGAAATTATCATTGATTCACTAAAATTGATAATGAAAAACACTGAAATACATGATATTCTCATTTATTTACTTGTTTTCGACACTTTTTGCACGTCGTTCACGAATATCATCTACTTGTGAAATGTATAAGTCTTATGAACAAAAAAAAAACAAAAAACAACGGTCAAAAGTCATTACCATCCCAATCTTCAGTAGCATTTACATCGTGAAACATTTGCCAATCAGTTGGTACAGATGATCGATTACAATTATCAATCCAAGGTCGACCTGGTGCTAAAATGGATCACAATATTTTCTATTTGATTCAATCAATTTTTTTCTATATTAAAAAAACTTACGAATATCAGAAAGACCAATAAGTACAGTGCTTCTATTAATTGCATCAGGACATGTTGACATATGAATGAGTAAATCATTCGGTGTTGTTAAATGATTAGCATTAAAAACACATCGAACACGACGAATATGAGGATTAGCCTAAAATTAAATTAAGAAAAATAATGTGATATATTTCAATGAAATCATGAAAGATACATATAGTTTTCTTACAAATAAAAATACCCAAAAAAAAAGATGCCGACTTACAATCATACATCGTCGAATATGATATTGAAATCGTTTAGCAAGTACTTGATGATTAAGATCAATTGGACAACGCCAAAAATCTGTTATTCAAAAACAAAACAGCGACTATCTCAATCTAATAGAATACAAATAAATTACCATCAGGACAAAGATATAGATTCGACATTTATTTAAATATTATACTATTATATATCGTTTCTAATGAAAATATGTATATTTAAAAGACTGATAAAGAAGGAAGAAAAGAAAACGAGAAGTTTGATGTTCACGTGTTACGTCGAGGGTCTAATGAAAAAATACGTGATATAATAAATAATATGAACAAAATGATTTTGTATATACGAATATTGTATTACCAGCTGTCTTACAAGACTAATAAAAAGAAATAAGATCTGTTATAATAGTCTCAGTGTTAAAGATCAATACTATTATCTCTCGATTTAAGCCAGGATTCTTCACATCGGAACTTTCTCTTCTCTTGCAAAAATGTTTCATTTTCTACTAACTCTTTACAGCTTCGTGATAATTTTGGACAGAAACCGGATTTTGCTGCATTATTTACCTTTTTTCTACAGAAAGGGAAATAAAATATAAGTAGACACGAGATGAATAGGATTAGGACAGACTGATGGCTCATCGTTTTTAATGAGAGAGGTCAGATCATGGTTGGTTTCATTCTTTTCTTTCTTAGCTCCTGTCATAAAATCTAGCGCTCCGAGAATGAAAGCACTTTTTGCGAGAATTTTTATTCAAATTATTCCCTTCAGGCCTACAAATTATCGATATGTCTAAGTTCAGGAATTTGAGCTGAAACACCTTCAAAGACAAAGTTCATACTTATTTCTAAGCTTTTAAAACTTTTTTTTAAACAAAAATTATGAAAATAAATGAGACATAATTGAAAACCCACCAGCGAAAATTTGTTGACTTGAATAAAACATCACACTGGAACTAGCCGTTTCTATTTTGCTGATCACTGCTTTTTTTTTATCAAGATACATTTGTTTCACACTAATTCTAATACAATGAGTATTGAATACAAAAGATAGAATATATGAAAATACTTGTCGAAATTTTAACACTATTCATAAGGATAATGATTGTTTCAACTGGCAGAAATTCAATCAATTGTGTTGTTCTCTATTCACTTCAGCATTAATAAAATACATTTATACCAGTTTACTTCAATTATGATTCTCATAATAAACGGAAATCTCTAAAGAAACTTGTCTTTACAGAAAATTGCTCTAACGATTTATATTGTCTTAGAAATAAAACTAAAACTGATCAATTGAATTAAAAAATAATAAATCACTACTGAAGATGTATGTGCCTATTATATTTATAAGCTAGAAAATGTCAAAAACATGAACGATTTCATCCTTTAACAATGTGATCTCTCAAATTAAAATGTCTATAACTTGAGCTTTTGTATTTATTTTAATTAATTTTAATTAAGTCACTCTACATATTCTGAAAAATTCAGTCCTATAGACTTTGATTCCATTGATTTATTATTAAAAAACCAACAGTAGCGACGTGATACAAAAAAAGCATAAAGGCTTTCACTTCACGCGATTGCATTCGCAAGTTCTGCAAGACCAAACAGCAATGCCAATTAATACAAATCCTTCTTGGGAATGGTGAGATGATATTAGAACCAAAAGTCTGGTTTTCAGACAAGAGCAGACCTCTGAAAAACCAGCTTTTAGAGTCCAGTCTTGCTGATAATTTCACCATAGATATAATCTTTAGATATGGAATATAATCTCATTGAAGTAGAACAAAATCGAAAAGTCATGTGTATTTATAGTTAACTTTTATTTTTCTCATAATTCTATTAGTTTAGATTTTTAATCAGTAGTAATGATGATGAGTATCATCTGATATAGATTAACTAAAAGAATCGAACGAAACACTATTAAATAGCTGAAATTCTATGATCATGATCACAGCTGAGCCATCTTCAGCAGATTTAGCTACACTAAAATCCCCAGCTACTTCATTTATATGTTTATTAAATTTGGGTGATTAACATATGTATATTTAATTCAATGCAGGTCTAGGAACAAGATTGAAACAAGCCATAACAATTCTAATTTAACATTGTACTAACAATCTTCGTGAACGATTTTATGAAACTATTATAAATTCTAAGGAATAGTTCTATAATTTATCATTTACAGTTATTAATCGAAAAAAATGATACTTTATAAACTTTTTCTGTTTTATCTCTTGACCTATTTTTGGTCTCTGTTAGAATATTAAGACTAAATTATACCATAAAGTATGTCTTCAGTTAATCAGAATTTTTATAAAACACATTTTGACTATTTTTCACATTAACATTCTTTTTTTTGACATTTTTACAGCCAACCAAAAGAATCAATATTTTAACATATATTAATCAATGAAAGAACTTTGTTCAAAAAAAAAACTAATCTTTACATAGAATCAATTTCAAATCGAAAATGTTCATGTCTTATGTTTTTTAGTTAATTTGATCTATTTTCTTTTTTCCATTGATGATGTTTATTATTTCTAATAAAACAAACAAGTAAATATTGTCTATAAAATCATATTATCACTCTGTCTTAAGTTACCTATTCAATCAATGCGAAAAACAAAGCAATAAAATCACAATAGTATTAAATAGCAATGTTGTCAATCTATTTTAAACATGTATATGATATTATAAACAATGAACGATACAATAAGTTTAGTGTCAAATATCATTTTAAAACATTTGTTTGTATATGTTCAGTAATTTGAATCTTATATATATATTGATCAATTATAAATAAATCCCAAGTTCAACTATACATTTATTCATTTGAGAAAATTTTTAATACGAATAATAATGCTATTTCATATTGTTGTTATACTTATTTTATTATCTATATTTATGCCAATAAGTATTTCATTTGATCATACTATTCGATTATATGATTCATTTGCTGAAATTCATCAAGAATATAAAGGACCACTTCGTTTTCAACAAATTGATTGGAATAATATCAAACATGAAAGTATTATATTACGATCATCATTAGGTAATCATATTAATGATACAAATACGATGTTTGAACGACGAATCAATCGAATTCATATGAATATGACAGGTAATTAAATATAATTAATATTTCTTATATTAAATTTTTGTTTTTTTTTTGTTTTCAGGTAAAAAAGTTTTTGTTCGTAGATATCCTGAACATAAATTTCCTATTATATGTGAAATAATCAATGAAGATAATAGTTATACACTTGTACGTGAAATTGAAACAGGACATTATTTTCGTGTTCAATCGAATCTTATTGAATATCTTAATGAACCACCAACAAATCCAATTTATGAAGTTTCTTTTCATCCTATACCAACCAATAATTCTTTTATTGTTAGTTATATTATTAATAATCTTCGATGGCAACCACGTTATATACTTCAAACATTTTCTGATCGTTCACCAATATTTCAAATATTAGTTGATATTATTAATACAAGTCCATTTAATTATCATTTTAATCAAACATATTTAATGTCAGGTGATATTGATATTACATTTGGTACAAATAAAATTTCATCATTAATTGATTCAAAAATTTTAACTAAAACAAATATTGATTATAGTGGTATTCATTTATTTTCATTTATGAATAATTCATTAATAATTAAACCTTATTCAATATTTACATTACCTATTCAATCATCTAATATACAAATAAAAACAATATTTATATATACACTTATATTAACAATACCAACAATATCAACAAATAATATTATATCAATTATATCAAATAAACATAAATTTCAACGTCTTTATCAATTATCAAATAGTTCATCATTTTTACCAACAGGTCATTTATTACTTTATGATTCAACATTAAATGTACTTACTGGTGAATGGCATTTACCAACATTAACTGAATTTGAAAAATATGAATTTAAATTAGGTGAAGATCCTGATATTATATTAGAATATAATCGTACAACAACAAATAATCAAAAAACAAATTCATCATTAATAACAACAAATATATTAATACAAAATTATAAACAACAAAAAATAAATATAAGATTTAAATCTATATGTGAATTATCATTAGTTTGTGTATTTTATGATGATAAAGCACGTTCACTTGGAGCTCGTCTAGATTATGAACTTAATCTTAAAGCTAAAGCTGAAGTTGCATTTTCATTTACAACTATAAGACTTTTTTAAAATTTTAACTTTTTATGAGATTTTTGTTGACCTTTGTTCTCTTTTTTTCTTCAAATATCTCTATTGATCTAGCCAACTTAAATCTTCTTTGATATTCATTATTGTAAAACACTTGATGATAATAAAATCATACAATTACAATATACAAAAATAAAAGTATCATATATTAAACTCGTATGTGAAAAAAAAAACATTATCAAACGAACGTGAAAATAATCTTCGGACATAATGATATGAGTTCATATATCATATAAAAATAAAAAAACAAGAATGAAAAAGATAGAAAAACACATGAAAAAAACAAGTTTTATGAAGGTGTATATTTGCATCTACCTCCTCCTATCGATCAACGATAGGCTATAAGTGGATGTAAAATAAGAGCAGCATATATATATCTATATAATAACAGGTTATCAAAAGAAGAATTTTAGACATTAGTTGTTCATATCATTGTAACAAAACACAAAGATATATTAATTAAATATGAATATAATTAATAATTTAAAAACAGCATCAAACAATGAATGTATGCTAGAACATGAAGATATTGAAGGTTCATATAATTTAAATCATCATATTCTATCAGTTTTTATATTATTAATTGTATCTTTTATTGGTACTTGTTTTTCAATTGTAACAACACGAATTAAACGTCTACATATTAATCCAATTATAATTAATACAGGAAAATTTTTTGGTAGTGGGTATGTTAAATAATAAATTATTGACTATTCAAACAGTAAGAAATTTTCATTTCATTTTTTAGAATCATACTAGCAACAGGTTTTATTCATATGTTACCACCTGCAATGGAATCATTAACTTCTCCTTGTTTACCCGAATCATGGAGTAAATATAGTGCTTATGCCGGTCTTTTTGCTATGTTAGCTGTACTCATTATGCAATTAATTGAATTTATTGCTCATGAAAAATATTATTCTCGTGTTCATTCAATAGAAAGTGGTACAAGTTCACCATCTGAAACAAGCCAACATGTAGAAATAGGAACTTCAGTAACTGAAGTTGTTAATACACCTGTAGAGATTAGTAAATCAACACATCATCATCATCATCATCATCATCACCATGGTACAGCTTTTCAAGATGATGTTCAAACTAATAAAATAAGTGCATATTTACTTGAATTCGGTATAGCACTTCATTCAATTCTAATTGGTATAGCATTGGGTACAGCTAGTGAATCTTTTGTTGCTTTATTTATTGCATTAAGTTTTCATCAATTTTTTGAAGCAATTGCACTTGGTGCACAAATTGCTCGTTTAGATCATTTATCATTAAAATCAATTATTTTTATGGTTATATTTTTTGTTTTAACAACTCCAATTGGTATTGCTATTGGAATTGGTATTCATTCACAAACATACAATCCAAATTCAATTGCTTCATTACTTGCCAATGGTATTCTAGATGCAATATCAGCTGGTATTCTTATTTATGTTGCTATTGTTAATTTAATAACAGCTGAAATGGGTGCTAGTGCTAATACATTTCATGCATTAAGTAAACGTTTAAAATTCTTATATTTTGTTGCATTATATGCTGGCGTTGCAGCTATGGCGGTTATAGGAATATGGGCTTAATAACATAAATAAGCGATGTTTTTTTTTTCTTTTATTGTCATTAAAATAAATATTTGAAATAAATAAATTTAAAGATTTTACATTAACATACCGATCGATATTTTAAATGCCAACGAGAGATTTTGTAAGCATGAAACAAATGACTAATACTTGTTGATATCTTAAGGATTTCACATTCTCTATATATATCATAAAATATATGTATTTATTCAAATTCTGGGGTGCTGGTATGCACCCCTGTTCTATTTCTTATCTGAAAACAATAAATCAAAGTCGACGGTTATCATCACTTGGACAAAGAAACAAAAAGATATCAAGAAATTTTTCAAAAGTTCTTATTTCAATAATATTTTAACTAAAAACTAATAATCGTTGATTATAAAAGTAATAAGAAAATATACTTATAGAATAAAATAAGATTATGTTACATGCAAACGCAGGCAGGATCTATTCATTGAGCACATATGATATAAAAATAACCGAAAAGAGCATATGTCAAAATAATAAAAAAAAAAAACATCGAACATCCTAAATCGATAATTTATTTCTGAACTGTCAATTATTGTTTTATAATATTCTTGATGACTATATATTGTATAAAATAAATGGTTAAAGTATGTTTTATAAAAATATGAACTTCTAACAGACATTACCATTCTACTCATAATATATTCGAAAATAACACAAAAGTTTCATTAGTAAGTTTTCATAACCATATAAAGTAATATATTCAAAATTCTTATACAAATTTATTGAATGTTTTTTATTGAATTGAGCATCAATTTTAATACATTCTGAAACAAATGAATGTTGATACTCAAAAGCTTCATCAAAAAGTCAAATTCAACAACACATTAAATAAAGAATATACAAATACTGAAACTGTTATTACAAAACTATTCGATGGTTTACCATTAAATGTAACAAAATAATATGTCATCACTCTTATTGGACTTTCTTTTCTCTTGTCTATAATATTACTCACATATGATTTATTAGCAAATTTTTATGAAATAAGATTTACAAAAAAAACATTTTTTGAAGTACAAGTGTAAAAATTTCAATCTTTCTTCCATCACTACACTAAGCTAACAAACATTACAGCAATGCCTTAATATTGAAACTACATCTCTCTTGCATTTCTAGATGATTTCTTTTTTTCTACATATCTATCGAACTTTTTAAAGAAAAAAACGACTTTATAACCGATCATAATTTCAGTATGTTATAGATAAGGATTCAATATTGATGATATAATTAAAAATGTTTTATATTTCAAACATTAGTTTAGTATTTCAAAGTATTTTAATTGAATGAACTTCTCATGTTTTATATAAAACTTTTTATTGAATCAATTGAATAGTTCAACTCATCGAAGCAACAAAAAAACAAAACATAAAAATTTAAGGAAATTTACAATATGAAGTTTAATAGAACGAAGGATAAGATGAATATGACATTGAATAGTTCGGATAAGCAGATGTAGTAGACGGAGGATAATAATAATAATCAGTTAATGGATAATGTGAATTATTAGTTGGTGTATAAGTCATTTGATATGTTGATGGCCAATAATCTAAAATCCGAACAATACTAAATAGAAATTAAATAATAAAGATTTAATTTACTTGATGACGGATTTGATGTAATAGATGAATCAAAATTATTATTTATTGAAAATTGTTTCATATCCGTAGATGTTGATACAATATTTTCTTCTTCATGTGTTGATATTAGACTTGAATATGTTGTTGTTGTTGATTTTCTAGTACGAGCACGACGATTACTAAACCATACTTGAATACGATTTTCTTCAATATTTAAATGTTTCGAAAGATTTTCACGTGTTGTTACATCAGGATATGGTGTATGAGAAAAAAATTCTTCAAGAATTTCAATTTGTTCATTAGTAAATGATGAACGATAACGACGTTTTGTAGTAGTTTCACATATTGGTAATGTTTCATTAAGTGAATTATCTAAATAATAAAAAAATTTTTTGTCAATTAAATTTACAAAAAAAAAAATTTTAATATTTTACTTTTGCTTTCATCTGATTCTTCAATAGTTATATCATTATCATATATTTGTCGATTATTAAATTTAATTTGTCGTCGACTACTTATACCTGGTTTATATGAACCTGTTTCAGCATAACGTGAAAGTAATTTTGATACACAACCATGAGATACTTGAAGCTATAAAATAAAATCATATTAGTTTCGATAATTAGCCTTTTGTATGAGATATGTTATACTTGACGACTAATCATACAAGGACGAATTCCTTCTGATGCTAATTCAATAATTTTTCGACGAATATGATCCGGTAAAGGACGACCATTAATAAATACACCACCTAATTGATTGACACGACCATGACCAGCTAGAAAATTAATAAAAAATAATTTTTATTTTATGTTATTAATAAGATTTACCAAGAAGAGCTTCTTGTTCAGCTTTTCGAAACATCTTTGTCCTACAAAAAAAAAGAAACAAAAACTTTTAAATTTAATTGAATATGTGATACGATTAACAAATCCTGTATTGGAATTCAATTCGAAGTTGATTGACTGAAGTGAAATAATGAAGATGTACGAAGTAGTTATATGAGAAGATAAGTGTGAATAAAATTGATAAATACAAGTGAGAGAGAGAGAAATAAGAAAAAAAAAACAACCTGTTGTGTGTTAATTGATTAATAGAACATATAGATTGCTTTTAATTTTGTTAATATGTTTGTTATAGTCTGTGACGATAAATTGTCTAATTTTCTTATTGATAACAAGTAGTCGTCAATGGATGAAATATAATTTATATCATCATCAAGATGGTGTTATTTTTCAATATTTTATGTAAGATGAATGATCAAACAATTAATCAATATAACGGCATATCAGAGTATTTATTTTTTTGATCAATGATATTTCATTCAATGCATATATTCTTGAAATAAATTTTATGTAAATTATTAAAATTGGAATGATTGCGACGGCTGAATCAGGAAGAGGTTATTAGGATTTAGTTCCTTTGTTGAGATTTTCGTACATATATTTTTCTTTGTGGAATTCATAAGGAGCGTCTCATAAGTTTTGAGTATGTCCTACTAGCTGTTAACTCGAGTATTAATGAAATCTTGATGTTTCACAATAACCAATTTGATCATACTTGTATAATTTATTGTACTATAAATCAGATGAAAGATGTAAATGGAGAATATTTATTTTTAATGAAAACTCATCTATATATGATAAAAGGGAATGAATTAGGGAAAAACATTTATGTACGTATGCACAATGATGATGTTTGATGGAAATTGTACGTTTCATCAATGACAAGCGAATTTTTACTTTACGACATTGATCAGATTTTAGAATTACAAAGATACCGATTGAATCATTTGATTTACTTTAAATTAGAGATAATCTTTATTTTTGTTGATGTTCACAGAATAAACTAAATACCATACTAATTATTTCATGTTCACTAAAACTTTGAAAATCGTATTGTGACTATGCAAGTATAATTGAGAGTCAAATAAAAAGCTCATATAAATATAGTAAGAAGCAAATCACTTTTGATTTCCAATTAATCTAATTTTTATTGAGACCGAGAGTTTATGGTACATTCTTTATTTCAAGGGAGATTATTCACAAAGAGTACTAATCGTCTACTAAAAAATAAAAACGAGTATTGTTGAATCTTTCTAGATGTAATACGAACTAACGCTGGAATTATTTTCTCTAAATCAAGATTAGATTAGAGTTACTCAATTCATAACTTAGACCGTGAAAGTGTTGGTTGTGCGTAGCATCTCTAGTCTAGAGTAGGCATGCACTCAAGCCATATGGATCCTTCTTGCCTAGATGAAGAAAAATACTCTTATTTACTGAATCGCGTGATATACATTTTTCCATCAATACGAGGTTGAAGTAGAGTAAAGACACTAGAGAAGGTCAAAAGAGTAGTTTTGACAAGGTGGATAGGTAACAAGTTAGAGCTAATCATAAATTTCAAAGTGAATAAGTTTGACTTTGAATTGTCTTTCAATTTTATTTGAATATTTTATTCAATTAGATGAATAACTACTTCATTCTAGACGAGAGTGTTGCTAAAAGAAATTTAGAAACGTAATGTCTATGTTTATACTCGATAAATATCATCTGTTAATCATTGATATGAATCATATGTCAATGATTGCTAAAAACAAATAAGAGTATGATTTATTATTAAATAATTGTGACAAAATTTGAATATAATAAAAATAACTTTTAAGTATTTACAATAATGAAATTTTAAATCAATCATTTTTGTTTTATTTTTTTTTGGTTTTCTTAAAATAATTGATGATTATCATATATAATATTTGCAAATAGATGTCCAAATATAGCTTTTTTTTTTTTTTGTTTTGTTTCTATTATCATCATCGATAATTATTAGACCAAACATATGGTAAACATATACAAACAGCTGCAAGCATAAACCAACAAAAAAAAAAAAAAGAAACCTGTATGACATGATTTTTCTTATACAAATATACATCATTTTTTTCTTTTTTTTTTATCAATAATCATCATGAAATTAATCTTTTTATTATTTCTTATATATTATCCATTATTAATTAATAGTGAAAATATATTATCTTATACAGATATAATTAAAAATTATTGTACACCACCATTTTATTATTATAAATCATGGTGTTATTATATATTTCCAAATTTAACATTAGATTGGTTATCAGCATATCGTTTATGTCATTCAATTGATAAACATACATATCTTGCATATATATCTGGTGATGATGAAATGATTGAACCATTACGTGATATATTAATTAATCGAGAAAAATCAAAAGAAATTAAATCTATATGGACAAATACAACATGGGGACAACAACGACGTACAATATTAAGTCGATATTCAAAACGAACTTGTCGTAAAATTGAATTAAAAACAAATTTTAAATTTGGACATATTGATATGTTTCGTATGCCATTT